CTTTCACTATCTCCCTCGCATTTTGCTTGCCTTCTCTCCCCCGCTATTTGTGAGGCCTCGTTGGACAGCCACTTTGCTTTCTTTCATTTCTTTTTCATTGGGATGGTTTTAGTTGCTGCCTCCTGTATAATGTTGCGAGCCTCCACCCATAGTTCTTCAGGCACTCTGTCCAGCAAATCTAAATCCTTAAACCTGTTCCTCACTTCCACTGTGTATTCATAAGGGATTTGGTTTAGATTGTATCTTACCGGCCCAGTGGTTTTTCCTACTTTATTCAGTTTAAGCTTGAATTTTGCTATAAGAAGTTGATGATCTGAGCCACAGTCAGCTCCAGGTCTTGTTTTTGCTGACTGTATAGAGCTTCTCCATCTTTGGCTGCAGAGAATATAATCAATCTGATTTCGATGTTGCCCATCTGGTGATGTCCATGTGTAGAGTCGTCTCTTGTGTTGTTGGAAAAGCGTGTTTGTGATGACCAGCTTGTTCTCTTGACAGAACTCTATTAGCCTTTGCCCTGCTTCGTTTTGAACTCCAAGGCCAAACTTGCCAGTTGTTCCTTTTATCTCTTGATTCCCTACTTTAGCATTCCAATCCCCTATAATGAGAAGAACATCATTCTTTGGTGTCACTTCTATAAGGTCTTGTAAGTCTTCATAGAATTGGTCAATTTCAGTTTCTTCAGCACCAGTAGTTGGTGCATAAACTTGGATTACTGTGACGTTAAAAGGTCTGCCTTGGATTCGTATCGAGATCATTCTATCATTTTTGAGATTGCATCCCAGTATAGCTTTCGCCACTCTTTTGTTGACTATGAGGGCCACTCCATTTCTTTTACGGGTTTCTTGCCCACAGTAGTAGATATGATAGTCATCCGAACTGAATTCGCCCATTCCCGTCCATTTTAGCTCACTGATGCCCAGGATGTCAATATTTATTCTTGCCATCTCATTTTTGACCACATCCAACTTACCCAGGTTCATGGTTCTTACATTCCAGGTTCCTATGCAATATTTTTCTTTACAGCATTGGACTTTCCTTTCGCTTTTCGCTTATTAAGTTAGAAAACACCAATTGAAACCACTGATCAGACATTTCATGTTGAGGCCTAAGCTGTTCCTCCATCACAAACTCATATCTGGTTGCAGTTTTTGAGAAGAATCTTGACTTCCTTTTAAAAAGGTATTCAGCACTTTAGTAAAAAACCAGAGGCATTCCTTTTAGGTTTAATTACAAATGATATCCCTGAAAATCAAAGGAAAGTATTCCTTTATGCAACAACAGCTGCCATAAAGCTGCCATATAGCTAAAAACTGGAAAGGCAGAAAAATTCCATCAGTGAAAGATTGGCAAATTAAATTTTGTGAATACATAAATCTGGCAAGACTCACAGCTTACATAAGGGGACAATCGGACCAGAAATTATTAAAAGAATGGGGTTGTGCTAAAGACTATATGAAAAAACATTGTTCTGGAGTTAGTATATTGGTATGCAATGAATGATGCTTTACAGGGTTAAAGAATAAGAAAAATGGTGTAAAAAAGCACAAAGATGGAAATAATCTAATTAGACACAACAATACAGTAAGAGTAAATTTTTTGAGGTCTTAGAACAAAGGAAGGAAGTCAATTTGTGAAAGGCGAAAGATTTACACGATCTGAGGTGAAACCAGAGTATTTATTTTAAAGGTATCAAAATTGAGATACAATATATTGAACACGGAGACATAATAATTGAAAGTTGTAACAAGGTTTGAAATAAGGTAACAAATTGCTGATATTGTTATTACAAAGAACGCAGATCTGGAAGGTGTGGGGAAGTCCAATGGGGATTTACGGAAAGTGGAACTTTTATATATCTATAACCTTATTAAGGTTTTTTTCTTTTTCTTTTGTTAAAAAAAAATCAAAAAAATTGTTTCTTGTACTTGGTTTCTTCTGTACTGTTTGGAATGTACAAAACTATGAAAAGAAACGCAATAAAAAATATCTTTAAAAAAAAGGAAGTCAATTTGTGTTTATGTATGTAATGATATGGTTTTGTTCTGTAGATGTGTGCTTTTTTGTTTTTGTTTAGTTTAGTTTCGTTTCCTTTGCTTTCTTTCTTTTTTTCCTTTTCCTTTTCTGTTTTTTTTCTATATGTTCCCGGGATTTTTGTTTGGATAGTATTATTTTGGATTCAATGTTTGTAATTTTTGTTATGATTCTGCATTGAAAATAAAAAAACTCAAAATAAAAATAAAAATAAATAAAATAAATAAAAAGGTATTCGGCACTTAGGGAATTCCAAGATGCAGGATAGAGACATGTTCAGGGCTGGCTAAAGACCTCAAGACTGACATTTGGCAGATCTCTCCTTTCCTAGGGTTCCCTTCTTGCTAGCCTAAGTGGGGGAGCAAGTGTCTTTCTTTGACACTGGAATTACCAGTAGCTAATCATTGGAAGCTGAGACGTTGCATAGAAATTAACTAAAACAGATTTCCAAGTAACTTTGCTGCGTGACAATTTACTCTTTCATGTTCTTTAAACAGAAGTGTCATATTTATCCAAAAGTATATTGCTCTAATAAAGACTTGAGTTGGGGGGTTGCTTCATTCATTAGACGTAGAGCAAGCAAGTACTGTATGTGGGCATGAAGAACACCAGGAAGTTCCACAACCAGAACACTTAACGTTTCCTTGGAGTCTTTCTACCAAGGCTAGTGGTACAAGGCGAACCAAGCAATTTGTCATGCAAGCAGCCTGCACTTTATGTAAACAGGCTTTTGGTCAAAGAACTCTTGGTTGAACTAGAGCTGATGCCACTAAAAATAAATAAGCAATGTGGGATAACTATTTAACATTTTCATTGTAATCCCAGTGGTATTCTCTGGTGTCCAAACCCATGGGCAGCTGGCCAAATTACATACTCCCGTATGGCTGGCTGTCTTGAATTATCTTTCAAGTTTTTGCGTGCTGTGCTTTTATGTAAATGCATTTGGCAAAGTGTTCCTTTTGCTTGTGAAAAATAATGACTCTGTATGCTCTATGGTTAGTGGAAGACATAAAATGCAGCCAAGAATGAGGAACAAGGAGACCAAATATGCAAAATGCCATGCATTATAATTTAGTTTTCAAGTTCATCAGCCATTGTCATTGCTTAATTTGGTATTGTTTGCTTTATTGTAAAATGGCATTCATGTGATCTCTTAAGTCTAGGCAGATGCTAATCTGTGCCATTTAATTTTTTTTAAGTGTCTACCTGGTTGAAACACTATGAGGTTATTCTTCTGGCCTTGACTCACAGACATCTGTTGTCCTTTTCTACCCACAAAGTGGGAATTAAGTTCAGTGTATTGATTTTTTTTAAATATTTTTTTTTGTAGAGCATGTGAGACAGTACTCACCTACACTCAGAGCCGTCTTTCCTATTGGGCTTAGTGGCGCGTTGCACCAGGGTGCTGGCCTCTCAGGGGTGCCCCAGTGAGTGGGGGAGCTGCGCGGCTTTGCTGGCGGCCTCCCCTTTCCCTGCACGCCAACCAGCTGTGCCCCATCAACCAGAGTTGGCGGGCATGCAGCAAGCCTCCCAAGAGCGATCCCTGCAGAGGCTTAGGATGGAAGCTGCGCCTGCCCTGCCAACTATATGGCTGGCGGCAGCAGCAGCAGCAGCTAGGTGCGCGCACTCTCCCGTCTGTCTGTCCGTTGGCGCCCGCAGGAGCCTCTGTGCGCTCGCCATGGTGGACAGCATCTACTGGACCCACTCACTGGGCATGGCAGCCGAAGGGCTGCCAGACCAGTACGCTGACGACCGTGCAGCACGGGTCTGGCAGCTCTACATCGGCGACACACGGAGCCACACCGCCGAGTACAAGAACTGGCTGATGTTGCTGCTGCGCGCCCAGTGCTGCAACACGGTGCTCGATGTGGCCTGTGGCACAGGGTGAGTCACACGGCAAGAGGAGGAAGCGGTGCTGGGTGCTGGATCATGACCCAGCTTGAAGGCCTAGGCTTCCTTCTCCCCAGGGGGGTTTGTGTCTCAGGATGCTCTCATCTGGATCCAGGCACGTGACAGCTGATCAGGACTCCCCCTCCCCATTGAAAGCACATGGCTCGACACCCCACACCCAAGAATCCTAGGAACTACAATCCCTGAACTACAATTCCCAGCACTCTCTAACAAACCACAACTTCTCAGGATTCTTTGAAGGTGTGTGCTTCAAACACGTTGGGTGTGCATTAAATGAAAAGAAAGGGCCCCCGTCACTTTGTTGTGGGAGAGGCTCCTCCCCGTTAGGAATATTACACGTGGGTGTGCAGCTTCCTTCCCATGCCTCTGTGGAAGGAGAGCGATCCCTGCAGGGGCTTGGGAAAAGGTCGACAACTCTGGGAAATGGGGGGCGCCGGAGGGATCTTTGTATCACGGCATCAGATATGCTTAAGACGGCTCTGCCTACACTTACTGTCCCACTTATTTCAATTCTTGTTCAGATGGACCAGCATAGCTACCAAGACTATCACAAAGCCCATAACAATGAAAGTATGTCTTCTCTTTACTTTAGTGCACCTCTATCCAAATTGAGAAAATGGCCTGTGTTTTAAACCAGACCAGTAATGTGTACACAGCCCAGAAACATCACAGACTGTGTCTGCTTGCATTCAATAGCCTACTGCTTTCTCTCCCCACCACCCTGTATATGTGTATCTACTGATGTTTACTTGACTTCAAACTCATCCAACAATGAATCTGACTTTAAAGTGCCATCAGACTCTCTGATGTAACAACCTAACTTGGCTACCCTTCTAAAATTGATGGTTGTGTTGCGTCTAAAGTTAATGCTTATTCCATAGTGAATGCTGATTTCGATAAATGGCATTTAAAAGGTTTAGAGAATTGTTTCAAGTTGGAAGGAACCAGGGGAAAGTATTTTAAGACAGATAGGAGGATCTGCCTCCCATAAGTTGGTAGTTGGGTAAAACTTAAGTTTCTCTCTCACAGACCTTTGCTCTTTTTTAAATATTAAACAGGAGGCTGCTGCTTGCTGTAAGTCAACACTTGTGTTGCCAATTTATTTTCCCTTCTTGAGCTTGAAAGCTACATACCTCCTTGAAAATGATGATTCCAGGCTTCCGACATCACTTATAGGTATGAACAACTTAATTTCTAAACTTACTCTATATACATTGAGCAAAGAATCAAGTGATCATGGTTCCCCCACCTTCAACTCAGCTCAGCTCAGCCATGAGTAACTTAACAGTTCTTATGTTTTGTTGCATGCCACCCCAATCTCCCAAATGGTGCAAGATTCCAGGTGTGCTTTACCCAGGGTTCGTGTGTCCTTTTGGAAATGAGGCTCAGTAGGGACTGTGGCGTCTTTATGATATATGGTTTGTTTACACATATATACAACCTGAGCCTATGGGCACAACAGTGGAATGTCTAGGTGCGCTTTTTAATAACAAGAATACAAAGCTGAAAATGAATGAACTGCAGCTAAAATATTATGCTCATTTTTCACATGGTCTAGTCCTTCCCCTGCCCACCCCCCTAATATTCTTAAGAGGGCCTCTTCTTCAGTCTTCAGAGAGTAGCTGGAAGTGGGGAGGCAGAAAAAGGTACTGCGCCAAGAGCTCAGAAACTGCCCGCACTAATGAAATTCCCTGTCACAAAATGCACCTAGAACAATGGGAGTTTCGAACACTGGCTCCAACTTGCATCTGCTCCAGCCAGCATGCATTTTAACTAGCATTACATAGCAGGATCCTAGGCTTACTTTTTGCTTAAGCTATGAGCTTTGTCTGAGCCAGAGCCTGGCTCCCAGGCTATACTTCCAAGTGACTCTGGCACCCTTTCCCCCCAGAATGGAAGCACTGAGGCCAGGAATCCACAATTCTGCAAGCCATGGCTATGTCTTGAAATAGTGGTAAGGGTCTGCTCCCTTGTAGGTTCAGACAAATCAGGTCCTCAGCTTAAGAACAGCACTATCTGCAAATGCTGTAAACTGAGAACTGTGGCGTGGCCCTGTGCAACAGTTCACAGAACCAGCTTAGTTGGTAGTTCTGAAGTCATCTAAACACATTTGGCCTTGCATAGGAAAACTGCATTTGCATAATAATAAAAGGCTCTACCTGTGTTATCTATTTTAAACTAATCAAACTTTTAGATTGTTACAGTAGTTATAGCAGTAAATGTGGTCCTATGAACCAGTCCTTAGATACTTAACTTTAGCAGGCACTGTAGAAATGTGGGGAAACCCAGTATTCTGGTCAGTGGCCTCTTGGAGTTTTGCTTCAGATAGTAGTACTGTACAACTAGTTATGTTTAGGTTCTGATCACTTAAACTTTGAAAACTGATGAAATGCATTTCACAGTACTTCAGTGGCTTCACTGTGAAATTAAAATCCTTCAATTAAACAAAATAGAATTGGGCAAGTAACAAGTATTTGCTATGAACATGGAGTCCACTAGTTTAGATGAAATAACACACTGGTGCCAATTTTAAAAGCATTTAAAGTGGATGTGAATGCTGCCATAAATACCATGGAAACTTACAATAAATAGTCTCCTGAGACCTGCGTATAAAAGTTGTGTTGGAAAAGTCTCTATGGCTTCTAAACTCAGTCCAGTGTATTTTAGGAACTTGACTTCTTGCTTATTCTTACAAAAGTAAAAAGATTATTTTTAGTTGGAGTTTTAAGACTTTGTTTTGAGGCATTGTACCTTGATAGCAAGGTACCACTGATGAATGAGGATAGTATATTCATCGTAGACTGCATTTGGTAGAATTAATAATTTGTATTCATCTGTAATACTGATTCAGGTCTTCCTGTGCTCATGCTTATGTAGTCCAAACCACCAGAACATGCAGGAGAAGTACCAGTAGACTTGGGTAGAATCATAGAATCATAGAATCATAGAATCATAGAGTTGGAAGAGACCACAAGGGCCATCGAGTCCAACCCCCTGCCAAGCAGGAAACACCATCAGAGCACTCCTGACATATGGTTGTCAAGCCTCTGCTTAAAGACCTCCAAAGAAGGAGACTCCACCACACTCCTTGGCAGCAAATTCCACTGTCGAACAGCTCTTACTGTCAGGAAGTTCTTCCTAATGTTTAGGTGGAATCTTCTTTCTTGTAGTTTGGATCCATTGCTCCGTGTCCGCTTCTCTGGAGCAGCAGAAAACAGCCTTTCTCCCTCCTCTATGTGACATCCTTTTATATATTTGTACATGGCTATCATATCACCCCGTAACCTCCTCTTCTCCAGGCTAAACATGCCCAGCTCCCTTAGCCGTTCCTCATAAGGCATCGTTTCCAGGCCTTTGACCATTTTGGTTGCCCTCCTCTGGACACGTTCGAGTTTGTCAGTGTCCTTCTTGAACTGTGGTGCCCAGAACTGGACACAGTACTCCAGGTGAGGTCTGACCAGAGCAGAATATAGTGGCACTATTACTTCCCTTGATCTAGATGCTATACTCCTATTGATGAGGCCCAGAATTGCATTGGCTTTTTTAGCTGCCGCGTCACATTGTTGGCTCATGTCAAGTTTGTGGTCAACCAAGACTCCTAGATCCTTTTCACATGTACTGCTCTCAAGCCAGGTGTCCCCCATCTTGTATTTGTGCCTCTCATTTTTTTTGCCCAAGTGCAATACTTTACATTTCTCCCTGTTAAAATTCATCTTGTTTGTTTTGGCCCAGTTCTCTAATCTGTCAAGGTCGTTTTGAAGTGTGATCCTGTCCTCTGGGGTGTTAGCCACCCCTCCCAGTTTGGTGTCATCTGCAAATTTGATCAGGATGCCCTTGAGTCCATTGTCCAAGTCGTTGATAAAGATGTTGAATAAGACCGGGCCCAAGACAGAACCCTGTGGCACCCCACTAGTCACTCTTCTCCAGGATGAAGAGGAACCATTGATGAACACCCTTTGGGTTCGGTCAGTCAGCCAGTTACAAATCCACTGAGTGGTAGCATAGTCAAGACCGCATTTTACCAGCTTCTTTACAAGAATATCATGGGGCACCTTGTCAAATGCCTTGCTGAAATCAAGGTAGACTACATCCACTGCGTTCCCTTCATCTACCAGGCTTGTAATTCTGTCAAAAAACGAGATCAGGTTAGTCTGACATGACTTATTTTTCAGAAATCCATGCTGACTATTGGTGATCACAGCATTCCTTTCTAGGTGCTCACAGACTGTTTGCTTAATGATCTGCTCCAGAATCTTCCCTGGTATTGATGTCAGACTGACTGGGCGGTAATTATTTGGGTCCTCTCTTTTCCCCTTTTTGAAAATAGGGACAACATTTGCCCTCCTCCAGTCTGCCGGGACTTCACCTGTTCTCCAGGAATTCTCAAAGATGACTGCCAGTGGTTCTGAAATCACATCTGCCAGTTCTTTTAATACTCTTGGATGCAGTTCATCTGGCCCTGGAGACTTGAATACATCTAAACTAGCCAAGGATTCTTGTACTATCTCCTTAGTTATTCTGGGCTGTGTTTCCTCTGCTGAATCATTTGCTCCAAATTCTTCAGGTCGGGCATTGTTTTCTTTATCGGAGAAGACTGAGGCAAAGAAAGCATTGAGGAGTTCAGCCCTTTCTGTGTCCCCTGTTTGCATTTCACCATCTTCTCCTCTGAGTGACCCCACGGTTTCTTTGTTCTTCCTTTTGCTACGAACATACCCATAAAAGCCTTTTTTGTTGCTTTTAACCTCTCTAGCAAGCCTGAGTTCATTTTGTGCTTTAGCTTTTCTGACTTTGTGTCTACACGTGCTGGCTATTTGTTTGAATTCCTCTTTGGTGGTTTCCCCCCTTTTCCATTTTTTGTACACATCCTTTTTTAATCTTAACTCAGTTAAAAGTTCTTTAGATAGCCACCCTGGCTTCTTTAGGCACCTTCCATGTTTCCGTCTCATTGGTATTGCCTGAAGTTGTGCTTTTACTATCTCCCTCTTAACAAACTCCCAGCCATCTTGAACTCCCTTTCCTTTTAGTATTACTGTCCATGGGATCTCACCCAGCACTTCCCTAAGCTTTATGAAGTCGGCTTTCTTAAAGTCGAGAAATTGAGTCCTAGTATGCTTGGCTGCTCCTTTCCGCTGTATAGTAAACTTCAGAAGAGCATGATCACTCGCGCCTAATGATCCTTCCACTTCTACCCCACTAACCAGGTCATCAACATTGGTTAGGACCAGATCTAAAATGGCTGTTCCTCTTGTTGCTTCTCCCACTTTCTGGACAATGAAGTTGTCTGCAAGGGCAGTGAGGAATCTGTTTGACCTTATGCTCTTGGCTGAGTTTGACATCCAACAAATATCAGGGTAATTGAAGTCCCCCATTACTACTATCTCCCTTCCTTTTGCATGCTTGGCCATCTGTTCCAGGAAGGCATCATCTATGTCCTCCGTTTGGCTTGGGGATCTATAGTAAACTCCCACAATGAGGTCACTGTTATTCTTCTCTCCCTTAATTTTCACCCAAATGCTCTCACTTTGGCTTTGAGGTTCTAAATCTTGGATCTCTTCACAGGTATACACATCCCTGACATATAACGCCACTCCTCCTCCTTTCTTGTCTGGTCTGTTTCTTTGAAATAGATTGTATCCCTCCATTATTACATTCCAATCGTCGGATTTATCCCACCAGGTTTCAGTGATTCCTATTATGTCATATTTAGTTTGCTGTACCAGGAGCTCAAGCTCATCTTGTTTATTTCCCATGCTTTGCGCATTAGTGTACAGACATTGAAGTCCATTAATCATTCCCCCGTGTCTCTTATTTAAGGATTTTTTCCTCCCACCACTAGGTCTGCATGCTCTTTGCTCCATTCGGTCTATGACATTTGGATGATCATCTTCATCAATTGATAGACTCCTACCTTCAGGAGCACTGTCTCCCTCCCCCACATTAGTCAGTTTAAAGCCCTCCTGATGAGGTTTCTGAGATTTTTTGCAAAAACATTCCTCCCAACCGTTGTGAGGTGCAGCCCATCGCTTGCCAGAAGTCCATCTTCAAGAAACTGCATTCCGTGATCTAAGAATCCAAACCGTTCCTGTTTACACCATTTGCGAAGCCAGTTGTTCACTTCCACTATTTTTCCCTCTATCCCTGGGCCACGTCGTTCAACTGGGAGGACAGATGAGATGACAATTTGTGCATTTAATTGCTTCAATTTCCTGCCCAGAGCCTCGTAATCTCTTTTGATCTTCTGGAGGCTATTGCTTGCAGTGTCATTGGTTCCCACATGAACCAAGAGGAAGGGGTATTTGTCAGTGGGTTTTATGATTCCTTGCAGTCATTCAGTTACATCTTGGATCTTAGCCCCGGGGAGACAGCACACTTCCCGAGACATCTTGTCAGGCCCACAGATCACTGCTTCTGTTCCCCTCAGTAGGGAATCCCCTATCACCACCACACGCCTCCTCTTAGGTCTGGTCGGGGTTCTTCTGTGAGCTGTCCGTTCCAAGGTCGCCTGGACATTCCCTGAGGACTGCCTTTGCTGCTCGTCTTCATATACCTGATCGACTGTAATGAGGGAGAGATCCTCAAATGGAGTCTGCTCTTCGTCTTCCATAGTAGGGGAAAGGACCTCAAAGCGATTGCGTATTTCTAAACAATCAGAGCGAACCCTGGGCCTCCTACTTCTTTGAGTCACGTTTCTCCATATATCTGGCTCCTGTGTTGGTGAACTAGCCACCTTCTCAGGGGAGTCCCCTGTCTCTTCCTTGGTGGAGACGGTGTGCTCTGTTGCTTCCAAGAAGAGTTCCAGGTCTCTAATTCTTTGGAGCGTAGCTACACGTTCCTCGGGTACCCCGAAGGCATAAATTGTTGGACCTTTCTCGGGTTGTACGTGTGTACCATGTATGAAGGAAAGAGTAGCTCACAGCAACCCTGCAATGTCCTCCACTGTTAATACTGTTGTGAGTTTTGGGGGGTGGGGGACAGGTTGGTATCTAATGGAAGATCCCATTGTTGTCGTCTCTGTAGAAGCTCTGGAGCCAACTGACGCTTCACAGGTAAGATTCACCTTCTGTTGTGTGGGCAGGACAGTCCCTCCCCCTACCTGGCTGATCCCCTGGCAACGCCTCCCCAGGCGGGATTGGGCGATTGGCTGAGGTAGGCGGAGACCTCCAGGTATCCAGCCTGGGGAGGGCGAAGCCAGCCCGTACTACCAGGAGCCGCACTGGGATCCAGGGGGCTGCGTGTGAGCACACAAAAGGTGCCCCCCATTTGATGTGGGGAGCAGTTGTTGTTGAATTAGCCATAATGGCCATACGTATGGGTCGTTAGTATTTGCTCTGTGCCAGAAGGCAAATGGGTGGGCCCCCTTCCTCACCTTTCCTATACTAATGGTCCATACTATGGACACCACAGGCCCTGCTGTACCACATTCCAAGGAAACCGAACCCTAAGGAAGCACCTGGAATCCTTGGAATGTCGCACCACAGTGATTTGGGTGGCATGCAACAATGCCGAACGTCAGAGGTGGAGCTGCAGCTCATGTTCCATTGACTTACGTGCAGATTGATGGCACTTTTCAAATGTCCAAAAACTAATTAAAAATAAAATTTAAAACAAACCCCCATGAAGTAAGGGCCACATTAAAGCAGGGACTATTTACTTTGATGCTAACTTTTGTTTTCCCTCCAGCCCTGAAGTCACAGACTCAGGTAAAGTACACACCAGGGCCAGGGGTACCCTACAACATTTTGTTGTAGGGCCTCACTTGTTTAATATATACTTGAAATCTGTTTTGGCTTAAACCTAAGGGATACAGTATATCAGTTACGTCATACATGGTGTTTATCAGCATTAGCCTAGTCCAGGCATAGGCAAACTCAGCCCTCCAGATGTTTTGGGACTACAACTCCCATGATCACTAGCTAGCAGGAACAGTGGTCAGGGGTGGTGGGAATTGTAGTCCCAAAACATCTGGCGGGCCAAATTTGCCTATGCCTGTCCTAGTCCTTCTTTCCTGCAAACCAGTATGGATTCAAGTTGAATATTCCTGTCTTGGGTGGTTTGGCTGCAATCAATCTTATTAGTCTCCATTTTGCAGGCCCTCAGGCAGATGGCATCTTAGTCTCCCTGGTTCTTAGTACTGACTGTAGGTAACTATTAGCAGTGGGATAGATTGCATCTGATGGTAGGACATAATAAAGGACATTTTAATAGTGTTCAGAGGTACGTCGCAAGCTATTGGTTTCTCCTGTTAAACCTGCTTGTCCTGTAGTTATAATATCTTACAAGTGAGAAGGGCAAGCAAAATCTTCTTTAAATGTCCAAATAATAACAAAAAAATGTATGAGCTACATTTTGGAATGAAGTTATTCCTTGAAAATGATTTCCCTTCTCCTCCTCTCCAAATAAACTCAAAGTCATCCCCCCCCAAAAAAAACTTCTGATTACAACAGATTTGATTTAACATGTATTTTTAAAATAAACTGCAGTGGCATCATTTTTTGGTTAGTGCAACTTTAATCCTTATACCAAAAAGGCATTTGCAAATTACATGGCACAATGTTGCCTCCTAGTTTCTGATCTTCAAATATTGTGTGTTAATCATAGATGCACTGAATTTAGAACATTTTTCGGCTCGAAAGAGATGTTGTCGCACATTGCCTAATCTGTTCTTCCTGAGCCAGAGACGGGGATCCAAAGAAAATCTCTTAGACAAGGAGAGGCATGCCTATAAAACAGAACATGGGCAAGACAATAAAAGGTAAAGAGAACCTATTTATGTTGTATGAGCATTGTCTTATTAAAATGACTTGTAAAGTTCAAGATCTTTTTCAGCAAGCACTTTATCAGAAGATGTTATTGCTAAAATGATGTACCTGAATGCCTTAATAGGAAGATGTTTCGTTTCAGTGAGTTATTAAACTTTTGTTTTCGGGTGTTCTCTAGCAATTCTCATTTGGCAACATTTTAAAAGAAAAGTCTGAAAGGGACAGTTAATAAGGCTGAAGTAAACCACTGGAGTACTAAAAAGCAAACAAAAAAGATCCCTACTGCTGAGAAGCAAACTGTTTTCTAGCATGGCAAATAAAGAGCTGTCGCATCTTCCTGTGTGTCTTCTTGATCTTGGAATATTGAATGCCATCCACAATAGGTTCCTATGGTAACTAATAATGCAGCCATATGTTGTTGACCGCCATACAAAAATAACTATGCTTGAATACCACAGCCACAATAAAAATTTAGCGGAGCCTTTCTTTTTGCGATGGGGAATCGGTTTGCACCTGTGGTTTCCCTTGAAAAGAGAACATGTTGCATTAGGTGTGGGAGGGGGGACCTTTGACCCTCCAGATGTTTACTGAACTACAACTCCCAGCATCTTTGAGTAGCCCTCTGCTTGTGGAATGCTCTCCCCAGGGAGGCTTACCTGGCGCATTGGCTACATAATTTTAGGCGCGAGGCAAAAACATACCTCTTCTCCCATGTCTTTGGCTAATTAAGCATTCTATGGCCTTTTAAAATTTGTGGGGAGGGTTATTGTTTCGTTTGTTACTATGTTGTGCATTTTTGTGTTTTTATATTGTAAACCGCCCTGTTAGAATTCCTGCTCCATGATTGCAGTCATGGGATTTTCGTCTGTCACATGACGGTGTGTGTTTTGACTCCACAGAGTGGGAAGTGATGGAGACAGGATGTTTGTGTTAGTGTGGGACTATTACCCTTTGTTCTTTTTCTCTTTGCTGTCTGATGCTAGAGAAAGAGGGAGCCATGTTGCAGTGCTCCGTGTGTGTTTATATGTAAAAGTAGATTAGCCAAAATGCCGAGTTGCTGATGTCTGTTACGCAAGCTGCGAAGACTCTGCGTATCCCTAAGTGTGCCGATGTCTGTTGACATCGGTCGCTCTGATGTTTGGATTGAAGAAAGCTTTTGAAGCTCCCGAACGATCGACCAGGAGGAAGAGAACATGCCAGTTGGGCATGTGTCTCTGCCAGGGTCCTATTCGAGTGTAGGACAAGCTCCTGACAGGGAGGTATAGAAATTTAAGAAATAACCACTGCTCTACAATTCTATGATACTGTGATTCTATGATCATAATCTCTGGCCAATGGCCATGCTTGCTTGGGCTGATGGGAGGTATAGTTCAGCAATATCTGGAGAGCCAAATCTTCCCTGTGTTGAACCATTGTTCAGTTATGAATTCTCAAGCTTTTGTGAAACACATACCCAATTCTTCCCTGCTTATTGCACATGGCACAGATTTTTTTCCACATAGAGGGTGCTTTTTTTGGTCATCGCGTTTCCCCAGTGTGGGATGGGCCCCCATATTATTATTTTGTCCAGGTGGTGAATCCATTCCCACTGCAAGGGGTCTAAGAGATGTGACTCCGATTCCCATCACTCCCAGCCAGCATGACCAGTGGTTAGGGAAGACTGGTCACATCCATACCATATATTCAAAACATATGCCCCCCCCGAATCCTAGGAGCTGTAGTTTGTCAAGGGTGCTGGGAATTGTAGCTCTGTGAGGTAAACTGCAGTTCTATGGATGCTTAGGGGGAAGCAGTGTGCTTTAAATGTATGGCATGGGTGTGAGTGATGAGAGTGGCTGCTTACCCACTTCAGGGTGGGTCGCGGTTGTGACTCATTGTGCCAGCTCCACACACACCCGAGCCATGCCATCGTGGCAGCAGCCATTGACTTCTCCCCCAGGCCAGTTGTGGAGCATCATGAGTTCCCACCACACCCACTTTACATTTGCACCAATCTGTGGCGACCTGGGAGCAGACCTGAGTGCGGCAGTCTTGACTCGGGTCCACTCTCACCCCATATAATGCAGCTGGCTCTGCCCTTGGCAGCACAGGGATGAGAGTCGTAGTCCAACAACATATGGAGCACCACAGGTTTCCTGTCTCTGGTTTAAAGCTATCTTTAATTCTGTGTCGCTGGACGAAGTAGTGAGAACCCTGTGCCATGCCCAAGGAAAACATGGAAGTGCCAGGATACTCGAGAAATGATTTTTAAGCTTCTTGTGTTTGTGCTTCCCTTTTTACGCTTGCTGTGGCTGAGCAGAGCAGTTGAGGTCAACAGTCAGGCCAGCACTGAAGATGGAGTGAAGCACCTTCAGTCTCAGTCTTTGCCAAGGTATTCAGCTGTGACTCAGAGGGTAAGTTTACTGATTATTTGTGTTCGACTTTCCCTACTGTGGTCTAATGAGCTGCAAGAAGAAGGCCAACCATTTCTAAATACTTTTTCCTTTTATGGAATAGAACTCTTAGAACATCACTTCCTGGATATTGTATTCTCTAAAATTGCTCGGTGATACACAAACTTCCTTGTATCCCGTGATGAGGTCTGAGCCTTGGGGTGAGGATTAATCCTCTGTCTTTCTATTTTAAGCAAAGATATTATGAAACATGCAAGAACTAAACAAAACCTATTTATATTGTATTGCATAATATTAGAATAGCAGAATGTAGTGGCCTGGGGGTTTTCTTTTCTGATTAATGTACAACATACGCATGCTGAACTAATGTTCTACAGTTTATGAAATGCTTAATGTTAAAATCTGCTTCACGAAAGGGAGAATGTGTCACTCCTTGGATTGTATGCCCAGTTAACTCCCACTGGGTTTCCTTCTTCACTCTAGTGTCAATTACAACTGTGCACAGTACCAAATTGGGGTGGGGGGAGTGGGGTGGACCAGATTCTGTTTTCCTCAGAACCCCCTCTCCCAGGACAGTCATAAGATAAACATCTGATTAATTAGATTTGTCCTATGCATCCAAATTAGCCTAGAATAACAGTGTTAGAGGGTTTACAAAACAATTAGTATTTGATGTTGTTATGAGGCTGGAAATTGCTTGTTCAGTGTGATTTTGTAAGGTCTTTAGAAGCAGGAGGGGAATTCCTTCAGATGTGACCCAAGAAATAGAAGAAAGGGGAAATCACAAAGGAAGAGTATACACGAGTAGCCAACAGTTGCAGGGAGAAAGTCAGGTGGGCCAAAGCTCAGGATGAGCTCAGGATTTCAACAGAGGTTCAACAGAGGTTAAAAATAAATTTTAAAAAGGCTTCTTCAGCTATATTTTGTTGGAATTCTGCCTGGGTCAGAGGGATGTGCCACAGCGTAGGCACCGGCAGATATTCCTGTCGACCTCCCCGCGTCTCCACTCTGCTGATAAGCAGGCGAGGTCCCGGCGATTCTTCTCAGATGTGTGAGAGGAACACACCGTTCTTCCTCTCTCCCCTTTGGTGTCCCCCAGGGAGGGGAAAGAAGCAGACAGAAAACTATTTACATCCTTTATTTCTGCCTCTCATATCAGTACAGAGAAACATGTCTGCACTCGACAACAGCAAGAAGAAACTCCACCCATGTACTTCCAGTACGGGTCATATGACACACACACTGAGCTAACATCCGGTGCTCAGTACAGAATGGACTGCCCCTTTGTTCCCATGGCAACAGTCACAAACATCCTGTCTGACTTTCCAGCCACAAGCAGCTGACTGAGCTGCTGGAGCCTTTGCTTGCTGCAGCATTGGTGCTTTATGGTAACATACTCCCCCTAAAGTATCAATGCGTGCTGCGAGCAAAGCGTCATCCAGAGAAGAAAACAAACAGTTGTCATACTTATAACATTCCCCTGTTGTTTCAGTTCCACCCTTGGAACTACCCGCCACTGGTTTAACCAATGTTCCTCTCTGGTTGTGTGACTTCGCATTACCTCGGTTAACAACTCTCTGTTGTGCCTTTGTCTCTGACTCAGACACAGCTTCAATCTGTCCTTGGTCGTTTACAACAGCAACATATGCTAGGTTAGCAAACTCCTTTGAATACCTCTTGGGTGGTACACCTTTCGTTGCTCTCTCAGACCTACGTAAGAGTTGCTGCTCTTCTCTGCTTTCTGGTTCAGCCTCTGAACTCTCTGGAGAACCAGTACTAAGCTTAATCAGTGGTTCATCCTCCTCTTCTGAGGGTCTAGTCATTATTTGAGATTTCCTCTCAATGACTGTGACAACTGAGCTGTCTGAGCTATCGCTGTCATCATCAGTACTACTGAACTCAATAAGATCAAACTCATCATCATCATCAAAATCCTCTGTGGGAAAAGCGTGAACAATCACTCTCTCCTGTTCAGGAGCACTCTCTAGAAATTTTGTGAGAATCACCTGACCAGATTCAGACAAAATTACTCTGTATAAACCCTTTTCATAACCTACGAAGATGCCTCTGGCATTTTTTACCCCACTTGGAGCTTCTGTTCTCACATGAGACCCGAAAACCTTAAAATAGGCAACAGAAGGTTTTCTATTGAACAGCTTCTCAAAAGGAGAACATCCCAACTCTGTTGAGACTTTTCTCAACCACACATGAAGATAGGACGCTAGCGACTCGGCCCAATATTCACGTGGTAAATGTGAACTAAGCAATTGTGCATGCATCCCCTTTTGCAATTCTTTGTTCACCCTAACACAGACACATTTCTTCCATGCTTCTTCGGAACTAGCAAGTTTGTGTCTTATCCCTTTCTCCTGCAGGAACCTCTGGAAATCCTGTAACAGAAAAACTGGCTTGTCATCTGTGAAAAGACAATCAATGTTAGCATCATGCATACTTTTAACCTTGCCACAAAACTCTTGAAACCTTTCTAAGGTCTCTTTTGGTTTCTCCATCAAATAAACCCAAGAATAATTAGTGAAACAATCAACACACACAAGGTAATATTTTGCACCGCCTCTAGATGGTTCTAGAGGACCAATCACATCAGCATACACCCGCTGAAAAGCTCTGTCGACCTTCTTGGCCACCTTCTTGGTGTCCTCTTTGTTGGTCAGACCTGTAAGAGAAATTTCGTTAGAATCAGAAGTACTACATTTCATGTAATCACTTTGATCAAAAGTCAACAAATACAGTCCATCTTTCTCTTTGGCAGTAAGAAACAGTTCTCCATCTTTGTAGATCTTGCATCTTTTAGCATCATAGTACAGTTTTAGTCCCTTCTTTGCAATCTGCGAAGCACTCAGCAGACTAAATCTCAGTTCTGGAACCAGGTAAACATCGCTTATAGTCAAGTTCAGACTCTCAAGATACACAGTTCCAATTCCGGTCGCTTCCAGCTCTTGACCGTTGGCTTGTTTCACAGTGAAGCTTTGCTTCTTCAACGTCGAAAACAGTTCTCTGTGTGGGCAGAGATGCTTCGTGGTGCCGGTGTCGATTATGAATGCGTTCCCAACATCTGGCGTGGTTCCTTTCGCCATCATAGCCTTTGCAGGTTTCACCTGGCACTTGTTACGGCTTTCGCTTGACGCCTCAGGCTTCGTAGAGCTGTTCTTGGCTCCTTTTGACTGTCGCGGCTTTCTACAGTTCCGCTGTAGATGCCCAGTCTGTCCACAATTGTAGCATCGGACAGCACTCAATGCTACAGCATGCTCTCCAGTAGCACCAGCAGTGGGAAGATTTGAACTCTGTTCTTGCCTCCCCCTGTCCTTCACTTCCAGTGCAGCAAGTCTGTCGTGTTCATTCAGGACCACCGCACAGACTCTCTCCGCAGTCAGGTCTTGAGCAGGTAGGGAACCAAGCTGACTGGCAACAACCTTGTAAGTCCGGTTCAGGCTGTTTATCACCATGAAGCAAAACACTTCCTCCTGTAGACGGAAATTGCGTTCCACCATCTGTTGACGCAGGTATTTCATTTCCGTCAGGTGCGCTTGAACATCTCCATCAGGCGCTAATCTCAGATTGGTCAACTTCTCAAAATACAGCAACGCTGAAGAACCGGCATCTCTCTGATGCGTTGTACGCAGCGTATCCCAAACCTCTTTCGCATGTTCTAAATGCTGAATATGCACAAGCTGCGAGTCTGACACACACAGAATTATAGCCGTTCTGGCCTTCACATTCTGTGCCTCCCAAGCACGCGTTGGTGCTGCAGGGATGGGGTTCTCAATCACCTCAAACAGTCTCTGATTCTGCAGCAGGGCCTTCATCTTAACAGACCAAGATGAATAATTGTCATTGGTCAGGAGGGGTGGAGAAGGCAAGCCTCCCCCCTTCTTAGCATCCATTTTGAGTCCTTGCATTAACTCTCAAACACAAGCCTCTAAAATCCAATAGCTGGCTTGTTTACACTCTTGACACCTGGCAACTCTGACACTGGCTGCGTTGGAAAGTCCCTTCCATCAGTTCGTGAGGACCTAGTCACAACAAAGCTTTGTTTTCGCCTCTCTGAGGCATAGACTGACTGTCCAGCCCTCTCGAGTAACTTTCCATTCCTCCTTCACTGAAGGACGTTGCTTAGCAACAGCGCATACCTCTCCTCGGACAGGAAACCACAAGAATGCCTGGAATGCAGGCCTCTTCTAAGTTGGAGCTGCTTTCCCACACACGCTCTCCGTGAAGCAGAGAATGAATCAATCTGCATTCACACTTTTAAGCCCTTAAAATCTCATACCTTGGGCATCGGCTTGGCTTAGCTGTCAGCTTCCTCTGGTCAGCTTCTGGCTGCAGAGGATCAGCTTCTCCCATCAGGCTTCCATGGAGCAATGTAAACAGTAGCTCTGCTACTCTTGATGCAGACTCCCATGGATCGAAGAAAACAGCAACCGGCATCTGCTACCACTGTTGGAATTCTGCCTGGGTCAGAGGGATGTGCCACAGCGTAGGCACCGGCAGATATTCCTGTCGACCTCCCCGCGTCTCCACTCTGCTGATAAGCAGGCGAGGTCCCGGCGATTCTTCTCAGATGTGTGAGAGGAACACACCGTTCTTCCTCTCTCCCCTTTGGTGTCCCCCAGGGAGGGGAAAGAAGCAGACAGAAAACTATTTACATCCTTTATTTCTGCCTCTCATATCAGTACAGAGAAACATGTCTGCACTTGACAACAGCAAGAAGAAACTCCACCCATGTACTTCCAGTACGGGTCATATGACACACACACTGAGCTAACATCCGGTGCTCAGTACAGAATGGACTGCCCCTTTGTTCCCATGGCAACAGTCACAAACATCCTGTCTGACTTTCCAGCCACAAGCAGCTGACTGAGCTGCTGGAGCCTTTGCTTGCTGCAGCATTGGTGCTTTATGGTAACATATTTGAAATAAAAGAAGGAGCAAGCAAGTAGCAGGTCCTCTGCATAGACAAGATGGAGAAATGCTGTTGGGTG